CGGCTGCACTGTATACGTTTCATGTATAAGCTTGTGTTTTAATTATTTCTTCTCATTTTAATTAGTTTTTTTGTATTCTATTGTCATTAGTTATTGTATGATGTAGACATGTAGTCATGTAGGTTCATTTTTTGTTTTTGTTTTACAATTACTGTGTTTTTTAATTAACGGACATATTTTTGATAAAAAAAAATGAAACTAAACAATAGAAATTTTATCAATTCAGGACCTGAATAAACCAATATAAATGTTGTTTCGTCCTATAATGTGAGATTGTGAGGTAGAATTCCCTTTCATAAGTCGATATATATTTGTTTCACTAGCAGGATTCTACCATGCATTGGCTTGTAAGGTATATGGATATCTTCTTATTTTCACTCTTTAAGGTTTTAGGAATAGTGATTCTATCTGCTCATAAAGGTAATTGGTAATTTGGTATACATTACTTTTCATTAATAAAATTATTTCACATAGAATCGAAAAATAACACTCGGTAATAACTAAATCTAATTGTTTCATTAGTTTTTTATAATTGTGTATTTGTGTGAATTCGTTTATGGTAGTCCATATATATATATTCAATGTATGTCGACCCTCTGCCTTATACCAGAGTGTCTGCCTGTCTGGTGCAAATGAAGGGTCGGATGCAGTACTGGAGCTCAGCTTTATGTGAACATCTAAAAATATAAATTATAAATGCAAAATTGCTTGTATAGTAGAATGATGTAATGATTTGTTACATATTACTAATATATATAATACTTTATCTTTGTTTTATTTAACATTTTTTTATTGTTGAAAAGACGTACGTGTGCAATTATTTCATCAAATAACATTATTGATCATAATTTTAATCGTAGAATAACATAATATTGATCCACCACGGGTGGGATGAAAGTGAGGGAGTGACTGAAGTTCAAATGTTCTGGAATTAATTTACGCAATTACGCAACACGAAGAACAATTAAAGAACACACGAAATTTGATAAACCAGTTCGCCACAAAGGACTACGTTTGGGGGCGCTACCAAGTCAGGAATGATATTAATTTTTTGGATCTACTGATTACAAGGGAAAGAGCTTGTATTTATAGAGAAGTAAAACCTAACCCCAAGGCAACTAGGACGCGTTTCCAAAAAATAGTAAATTGTACGGCCTAAACTGTACGGACTGTGCGGACTGTACAGAAAACTTGATCGTCAAAAACGGACCAAAAATTTCGGAAGGGGGCCTTTGCCCCCGGACCCGCGATGAGGGCTACTTCCGTCCAACTCCTCTTCGAGTTGGATCGACGGATAGGGCTTGGTTATACAGTCTCTAACACCTTACACAATCCCCCGTCGCGTATTTAAGTCGTCTGCAAAGGATTCTACTCGCCGTCCGATCAGAATTGTATTTCAAGGCGACCACCGCGACTCTTCCGCCACGGTGGCTTGGCCATCGACACGTGCCCTTGGGGGCTTTGGGCCCCTACTGCGGGTCGGCAAACGGACAGCAAGCGCATGCATCGGTCTAGCCCGGATTCTGACTTAGAGGCGTTCAGTCATAATCCAACGCACGGTAGTTTCGCGCCACTGGCTTTTCAACCAAGCGCGATGACCAATTGTGCGAATCAACGGTTCCTCTCGTACTGGGATGAATTACTATATTAAATTCTTAGAAAATAAAGTTTGCCACGTAATGAAACTACATCAACTATGGTAGGATTGGTAACCCCAGATCATTATGAATTATGATGGTTCGTCTTCATATAGATACGTGGTCTCGCTCGATAATCAATCCCTGGTCCATCACATGGGCTTGGCTCGTATAGTTTAACTTGGTGGTCCATCAATCACTCACGTTTGCCACTACAATCTTTCCCAAAGTTAGGATGAATATAATTATTTTAGATTTATGATTTATGAATCTATTAGTATTTAAGTTCGTCTGATGATGTATGATTTAAGAATCATTCTTGCCCCATCATACTTTTAGTATTGCACATAATGAATACATATTTAAGTTAGGATGAATACTACAACTAGTAAATTTTTTATACATTCGCAGGTGTATACAAAATTGTTTGTGTACCGAGACAAGTAGGGTGTACACAACACTTTTTTTTGTACACCTAGTTTTTTCAACAAAATATTGTTTCATGTAGTGACATTTTTATTAATACATTCAAGTGGGCATTTAGATTAAAACTTATTTAGTGAAAGAAGAGGAAATACCGAAATAATTTAAAACATACACTCACATCAACTGAAAAATGTCATAATATATAACGGTTTTTTGTTTACTTTTGAACAAATTATGCACATCATTAAAAACTTTAAATTTGAAATCACTCTTGCTCGTGTACCACATAACTACATAAGTAAGGAAAATAGTAGATTGGGAATTTGAAAATAGTTATAGTTACCTTAACTTAGTTGAATTGTGTGTCACGCTGGTCGCTGGTGATGATACTCAGCATATATATATTACTCTCTTTTTAATATATTACGCAGTAGTACATATAAACTGATTATAAGGTAATATGGAATTAAGGATGACCTATGACCTATAATATACGTTTTTCTCTTTATTCTTGAATTGCTACATACTCTATGGTAAGGGTTGTGCTAGGTGTACACCTTTCGTACATTCGTCTGTCTCACGCATAAAAAATTGTCTGTTGACAAACAATTTTTTATGCGTGAGACAGACGTTTGTACGAAATGTGTACACCAAAAGAAAATCAATTAATGTAAAATGTTTATTTATAGTAAGACATTTCAAGTTTTGTTGGCAAAGGTGAATTAAGCCTCTAACCATTCACGACTCATCAGGATGGTAAATTTACGCATGTAATAACTAAAAATTTCACAGGTTTCAAATAGCATTTTATTTTATCCCAAAAGGGTAACCATTTTGATCAAACAAAGCCAAACATGGCAATCTAATTAAGCGAACAAATAAACTTACCAAAAAGTTAAAAGTACATAACTTATTTGTGGGGAGAATCAAAACTCAATAATTTAATGGTTGAAAAATAAAAGCCAGTAGTATAAGTTAGAGCATATATGTTTCAAATTTTTAATGATACACGGAGTACTAAATTACTCTGTATTTTGTTAACGTGTTAAATAATGGGCTTTGGCATGACCCTAGTTTTGGGTCATGAATAGAACTAGGATCTTTGGTTTTAATTCGGGAACGAGACCGTTAAATAGCTATAATGACTAACAGTGTGATCAAATTAACTGTGTGTATGGTTCTGGGGAGGTATGTTATGTGTTATCTTATTCAGGTTAATGAAATATCTGGACCGTCTAACGAATTTGAAATATCTTATTCCAAATGTAAAAATCAAGACCCCGCATTAATATAAAATATTGAGAGAGAAAATTTCAATCCAAATACTTATACTCAAATCAATTGAATACACATTAAATAATGTAATATTTTTTAAAACTTACTTAATAGTGGAAAAAGTCCAATGTTGCATTTAAAAAAGAACGGAGAGAGCATTTGATATAAAGTAACGCAACTCATTATTCAAGCAATTTGAATAAAAGAGAACTAAAAGGACCAACGAAAAATGATAGATCTATATTTTTCTTCCTTACTAACTATGTTTTACTGATTATACTGATATATTAATATGCTCCGTATAATATTACTTTATATTACTAAAAAAATCTTTAAAATGTGGGGCCCCATAAATCGGAAGGCCATGTTCCAGATAACTTATTTAACCCCTAAAAAACGTCCTTGCGAAGCATAGTCCTCCGTTAATTGTAGGGATAGAAAACGTAAACATCCTCCCTTCCAAAAACATCTCCCTTAAGAACCCCAGAAGTCCAAAACCAAACATACCCCAAGAAAAGTCATACCCTTTAAGGGTAATAGTAAATATTGTCAAGTGGACTATTGTTTTTCGCATTTCATCCCCCATATTGCCCACAAGACTTCCATGACTCGTTTGGATTGCAATGAATGAACTTCTCGTTTGCCACTCTTTTACCCAGAAGAAAAGATAGAAAGGACCCCATAAAAGCCAAACTATTAAATGAAAAAGAAGCAACCAGCGCAGCTCCATCCATAATACATTCCTTCTTTCATGCCTTTCTGTCCCCAAAGTTCATCTTTCTTGTGCTTTGTTTGTTAGTAAGCAACAAAATAAATGGTTTCTGGTTTGACAGATAACTCATCTCCCCATGATTGACATAAATACCCATGTTGTAGCTCAACATTATAAGTAACTCCAACTATTAGAATATAAGAACATAGATCCACCACTGGATCCTTTGAGCTCTTTAAACTAGAAGGGTAAAAAAAGTGACAGTTCTTCAAATGAGAATGAGGAGCAGAGTAGTGGCTTTGCTCTGGATCACATTCCTAGTGTGTTTTGTGCTGCTAAATTGCTTCTCAGAAGCAAGGCACCATCCATCTGCAGCTATACTTGTTGGGGTTGTGCATTGTGACACATGTTTCCACCAACATTCCTCCAAGTCTAGCCATATCATTGCCGGTACGATTCACCTTCAATTCTGCAGTTGTATTTAGGGTACATTTTGATCTCAGAATATGCTGGGGTAAGGAAGAAAATATATGAGAATTTTGAAAGGAAAAAACATGCAAGTGAAAATTTAAACCATTTGTTCAATCAAAACATTGTGGTATGTGTTTATTCAGTCTAGTTTATTTCTTTCTTTTTTTTGGATGAACCGTAAATATAGTTTATTTCTTTCTATTTCTATCATACGTAGTACGGAGTATTAAATTAAAGACTAACAGATCTAGATATATGTGAATATTTAAAAAAACAATAACCATATCTCATTTTCCTATTAAAAGCTTAAAACCAATCCAAGAGTTAATTGGCTGAAATTTCTCTGCTAATTTTTGTAAAAGGAGAAGGACTAGATAACATCCATTTAAGACAAATAACCAAGTCAAATTTACAAACTCTGGTTATTATAAGACTGCCAAATGCCGCATTAACGGTATTCCGAGGCACTCTTTTGTGCAGGTGCACCAGTTGCAGTAGAATGTGGGGACACAAGAAAAGGTCCAAGCTTCTTCGAGGAAGAGGTGAAAACAGACGAGAAGGGAGAATTCAGGGTGAACCTACCACTCTCTGTAAGCGAACATGTAAAAAAAAACAAAGGCTTCTGTTCTGTTAAGCTAATAAGCAGCAGCAGTGACAGCAAACCACACTGTGCTGCCACTGCTTCTGCAGCTTCTTCATCTTCAATCCATTTCAAGGAAAAAAGAGAAGGAAAACAAATATTCTCGGCTGGGTCTTTCACATTAAAGCCACAACTTTGTGACCAGAAACAAAGGATCCATGGGAAGAAAACCAAAACTAGCGTTGCAGAATCTCACGTTGCACATCCGAACCTTGAACTTCTGCAGGTTCCAGTTGGGCCAGGAATTCCAGTTGGCGGGCAGGATATTAGTGGTAAAAAAACCAGCACTGCATTTCTGCCTCCCACTCGAAATTCCCTGCCAGCAACTCCAATCATTCCAACGGCTCCAGTTAGCCTCGGAAATCCAGTTAGCCCACCTACAGCACACCAAGATGGTACATCTTCCCCGCCAATTCAAGGGTCATCACCACGTGTCTTTTTACCTCCGGTGATGCAAGGTGGGTTTATCGTGCCTATGCCAGAAATCCCTCCAAGGCTCCAATCCCTCCAATACCGAAGATCCCTTTCATGCCAAGCATTCCCGGATTTCCACCATCATCTAAGAAGTCAGATAGTTTAAAAGGTTCAGAAAGACGGACTCAAGCAAGTGATGAAAAGACAGTTCAGCCTGCAACTTTCACTCCAATAATACGTGGTCTGCCAACAAATCCATTACTGCCACTACCTTCTAACCTCCCGAACCCTATACAGTCACCTCCACTTATCCCTTCTCCACCTCCTTTACAGCAACCTTTCCCATTTCTGCCATCTCCATTCATCCCAAGTTTCCCAACCCCTCTCCCACAATTCCCCTTCCCAACAACACCTACTTTCCCCGGAGTTCCTCCGGCTGCTGCCTCTTATACTCAGAAGAAGAATTTGCCATAATGACATCAGTTTATTTTCTTAATGTAATCACTGTCTTTTAAGCTTTTCTGTACGATCTGATGACATTGTGATTATGCTTGACAATTGTGCTGATTATGAATGTGTAATGCTGAAATAAATACAATGCTTCCATGAATCATAGTCTATACTTGATTTCAATTTACTTCTAAACATAGAACTTGATCAAATAAAATAATATTGCAGAAGTAAATTAAATAGAATTATATGATTGATTTAAGTATATAATTATAGCAAGTAGCAATGTTTTCAGAATGATCAGCAAGGTTCTGTATTTAAGGAAACAGCTAAGATAAGGTAAACTAGCAAATATTTAAAAATAAATACAACTCTGTAATAAATAAAAACGCATTAGATTGTGTCCAAAGATGAAAATAAAAAGGAAAACACAAATCTAATATCAGTTACATGACTGAATCAGTGCATTGCATCATAGTCATCCAACTTATCATTGTACTCCAAAACCTTTCTTCTAATCTTTGACGTGTCTACCCATGTAATAAAGTCTTCCATGTTTCTGGTAACTAGATATGCTGGATCGGTAATAGTATCTGGTCCAACTCGAACATGCCCCTGTTCTATATAAGTCACAGCTTCCTTCAAGTGTTCAGCAAACTTCAGCCTCACCAAGACAGTGGAGAGTCTACGTCTGTGAAAAAAGATACAGAAAAAATTCAATATCAATAATTTCATTTATTAATATATCCTGAACATTCCAGGTACAGACAAATTCTTACCGGCAGAAAGATGACACTGATAATTTTTCACACAATGCTAAACTTTTCCTTTCTGATATAACACCGATGTTGTACCTAAACCACAAGAAAATTAAACCTTACAAAGAGTTACATTGTACTAAATGACATCAGAAAAACAAAATTACTAGAGACAACACATCAAGGCAGGTGCAGCAGAAGGTTTGAGCATAGAGGATATCGCATAGTTCCACATTTCACAACTACTGCTCTTGTAAATTTTGTGATTTTGAAACATAATAAGAAGAATCAAAAAAGGAATCCAGCCTTATTATCTGGGCTGAAATACATCATTCCTTCAAAACTTGAATAGCATCATATGGCAGAAATCTTCCCTTCCCAACATTAACAAGAGTAAAGCCCAGTGACATCATCAGCATCCGAGCCTTAGTACCAAAAGATTTTGGAGTCGGCTAACATGAACCGATACAAGATATTGGGGCCGAAAAGAAGATAAAGATAAAAAGTGAAGGTAAGATAAAAAAAGGTTAAGATAAAGATAAATATAAGATAAAGATAAATATGAATTTTCAATCCAACTGAAAGTCTGAGTCTATTAATCAATCATGTACGAGTACTACTCTATTTGTATCAATCATGTATGAGACTGAGAACTGCTCTTTTTGTACCTAGGCGCTATCCAATTGCCTATAGCTGAGCAGTTGGCTATAGGCTATAGGCTATAGGGGCAGTAAAAGACACTATACTTTACATGGCTTCTTCTGTGCTAGTGTTAAGGGGATTTGGGGGAGGGGGTAATTCTGGCTTTTAGATGTTTTAAGAGGTAAACTAGAATTCTAAAGTAAGAAATTAATTCTACTGAACCCTCTTAAAAGCATAAAAGACAACCCTACTAAAAGTAGCTCAAAGCAAAAAAACAAGACCAAACATAACATACACTAAAGGTCGGGCATTATCCCCGAACCCCTGAGGGCTACTTCGCACCCTGAACCTCCCGACCAGTGGGCGCTTCACTCCTGGATCCCTGAATCCCTGAATGGGGAGCAAGACCCCTGTAGATCCCTGAGTTAGAGAGTTCAAGGCCTCTCAATTACCTTGATATAAAATAACGACATATTGATAATTGCTGGTTTAACAATAATAATAAAGGCACCTGAGTTTTAACTTTTTGTTTAGATGTAAGTTAATTTAGTTATTCATGTGTTTTGTTCAAGAAACTAATGGATTTTTATTGGTAATTTAGTAATTGTGAATGTCATGAGGTATGAGATTTGAAGTGATGTATTTATCATTTTTTGTGTTTGATATGTGCATGGCATCTAATATGCATCCGCATAATCATCCCGCTATTCGTTACACCGCTATAGCTTTGAGGGTTGGCCACTGCAATCTGCTATCAGGGAAATGAGGGAAAGACAACACTGTTCCTGGTTGAAGCAGAGCAGGGGAGAACTTCTCATGCATGATCTTACTCAATCCTGTACTGCTGTTTAACCACAAATTGACAGGCCATTTATCCTGCCGTAATACAATTGTCTGATTTTGAATTGACTAATTGTTTGAACTTTGAAACGTTCAGAGTTTAATCAGACATGGCAGGGACATTCTATGAAAAATGTTTGTGGATACACTAGACTGGATGAGATTGCCAAATAGGAAGACATGTCAAATAAGGAGTAGCACAATTCATGCGATTGTGAAGCAGTCTCATAGAAAGAAGGCGGTGGTCCAATACAATGTAGTCTTATCACTAGACTTCTTGAATTAACTATTGAGTGCCATTTTAAGATAAATCAAATTTCTAAGCCAGAGATTAACTTGTATGCTGTTAATCAAAACATACATGAAAGTTAAAACTTTAAGCCAGAGGCTAACGTGCACAGTGTGACTAGTCAAACCTACGTAAACAAATGTATAACATTAACCTAAAACAATGAAAAGAAGACATTCTTACAGCTTTTCTAGAAGGGCATCAGTCATCTCAATCCGAAAAGGATCTCTCGCGTCCATCTGCTTCAAAATATTCACCAGCTTCTGTGTCATTCTACACAATCCCGAATACCTAATTTCGTCAAAAAAATAAAATCAGTCGACATAAGACAATATCTCATTTATATCTGGTACTTTTTTAAGAAGAAAACGAATCGCATATTGAGTCTGGATGTAATACTTCTTGTAGTCGTCTCTCCCTGTGACGCGGTAGCGACGCAAGACCAGAGCTTCTCGGTGCCCATGTTCCCTCTTCCATTCTAGAAAGTTCACCTTTTTCACCAGCTTCTTCTCATGAAACTTCAGCTTTCTCATCTTTCAGAAATTTTACGTACCTTGTTACTGTTTGTTTTTTTATGCAGGCAAGCAAGCAAGCAGCAAGTGAAAGCTCGCCAAATGCTGGTACGATGGATAAAGCTTAAACCCTAGCAAGAAATATAGAATCGTGAGATCAAAAGATTCGAATAAGTTAGTTGCAAGCATTTTAAATTGGACTGGGATTAAATGGTAGTTATATTATAAAGCCTGGTCCGTTATGTATATTACTCGTGGGCCGTGGCTTTTATTTTAGCCTCGATCACATCAAAAAGACTGATTGATCGCATGAGCATTTTGCAAAGGAACCACATGGCGGGAACGTCCTGGGGCTAGGGCTGGTTCGGTATGGTATATCAAAATTTCCACTCCATACCGCATACCGTACCGAAATGCCGGTATTTGTAAATGTCATACCGTTACCATACCGAAAATTCAGTACAGTTGTTACCCATACCGTTTTATATCGAAAATTCACAACACTAAACTTTTTAGACAATTCTGTATAAAGCATCGACAAAAGGGGCCTACCAAAAATCCAAAAAACCTGATTTTAATATGTCAAAAGTAGCATACAACATCAATTACATAAACTTATACCAAAACTAAAACACAATATTTAATCCAAAGTAGATATACTAAAATTATGTGCTAATATCTCAAGTCTCAACACAATCCATAATGAATATTAGAACAACTATCCAACATAAATCAATGATAATTAATGTTTGTAATAACAAATCTCTTAATGATTGTTGCAGCTTCAAAAGATAAGTGGACTAAAACTTCACTCCTCCATTCCTGGAAATGAAAATAAATCAGTTTTGCTGAAAATGCAACAAATATTATGTTAATCAATTCTAGAAAATGCAAAAATATGAAAGACTATTTGTAGTATGTCAAATTGCCCAGTCAGTTCTAAAACTATATAAATAAATAAAAAGATAATAACTTTTAGTGCCACTGGATTTTTACTCTTTCAAATGTTAGTATTGTGATTTTTTTTCAATAGTATTATGAATTTATAATGTCTTTCTAAAGCATACTCCGTATCTTGTTTGTTCTTAAATTTAAAGTTTGTGGATATGTCGAAACATTGCCTCTACTAATGTTGCAGATATTATCTTTTCCATGCTTATTCGTGCTACTGGTCAGAATCTTCAGATGGCTTATAAAAAGAGTTTAAAATTATTAGGGCTGGGCAGAATCTTAGATGACTCTAGTCGCTACAAAATAAGATATAAGCTTTATTTATCAACAAGATATAAGCTACAAAATAAGCTATACCAAATATACACTTGCAGGAGAAAAATGATATTCAGTTAATCAATTTTCTATTTCAGAAGTATAAAACAAAAGAGAGTTTTCTACTTTGGTAATATGAAGGTCGTTCGCTGCTTAAATGTTTATCAATATACTTTAGCATTTGTTTATAAATATAGAATGAACATAGACCAGATTGTTCATATTACCAGGATTGAGAAGCTTTAGCAAATGATTGAGTTCGTCCGGCTCCGTGCTTCTTCAATGCGTCTTCGTCACTCGTCCGCAGCTCTAGCTCGAAGTATTCTGCCGTTCTTGAGTGCTCCGCCACTCGTCCGCAGCTTCGGCTTTAATGCTCAAAACTCTGCAGCTCCGCTGCTCCGTCACTCGTTCACTCGTCGCTTGGGAGAACTGGAGAAGAGAAGCTAATTGACTCTACGTACTAGTTACTCGATTAGGGATTTAGGTCTCCACTTTTGGGCCTTGGGTATTTTACTGGTTTCACTAATGGTATTGGCCCTAATGATTTACAAATTCTATTTCGGTACCGAAGTGACCAGGCATGATATCATACGGTACCCGAACTTTTTGATATATCAGATTAGGTATTTTACTAATTTCATTTAATGGGCTTGGCCCTAATTATTTACAAATTCTATTCCGGTATACCGTACCATACCGAAATTAACGGTATTTCGGTATACTGAAGTACCAAAATTTTTTGAAATTGCATACCTTTACCGTACCGAAGTGACCCGGTATGGTATCATATTGTACCGAACTTTTTGGTATACCGGAAATTTCGGTAAAATCAGTATTTCCGGTATGGTATGGCCGGTATACCAAAATTTCGGTATTTTTCCCCACCCCTACCTGGGGCATGCCAAGCTCGAAGATCGTCAGGTCATCCCCACCAACAACTTCGTCCCCAGAGTCATAGTTCACAGGTCGAGGCTCAGCGACCTCTTCTTGAGCGGCTTCACCGTGGATGGCATTCCCTTGAACGATGTCCCCCCGACGTTACCAAGGGGGACGACAACTCCATTCGTAGTATCAGCGACAAGTACTCCGGTCGCGACCGAAGACCTAAAGCTGCCAGAAGAGCTTGTTTCCCCGGATGATCAAGATTCAGATCCAGATTTGGAGGGGGGAGCTAGAACATGTGACTACTTCCATAAGGTTCGGCATAGGAAAAAAACGAAAGGGGATTGAGAAGAAGAGAAGTGGAGGAAAATACCTTAAAAGACTTGAAGAAAAGGGAGGTTCATGACCGGAGAACCGAGCGGGGAAGATGCAAAGCACTTGAGAGCAAGGAGTGGAAGTTTGAAAACCCCAAACCATCAAAGAAACTGGTATTTATAGGGGGCGCACCGCCAAGCGAACCAATAAGAGTGCGACGTGTGGCGAGGAGCGTACCCAGAACACATGTCGCACGAAGGTCAGCGGACACATGATGATTACTTTCGTATTGGAAGTTGAACCGTTCCGTTGTAATTGTCACATAGGGTGTTGGGAACCGTCTAAAAAGTTGTAACTGTCACATCAAGAGCGTCAATGGGGCTCAGTCCGCATGAAGCGTTTATACTTATGTCCTGCCTCCGCTCGGGACATCAGAAGTGGGGGCTTGTGTTGGGTTAATGGCCCGACCGTGGGGCTGGCCCATTACCCCTTGGCAGACAAACACCAGAGCCCAATCGACGTGGCCCATCAAGATGCTAAGAGGACGAGCGTCGGATGCTCGGCCTCAGTTACCTTGTCCAAACAAGGGTCACAAAGCGCGCCAGAATCTTCAGCCAAACGCATGCATAGGTCGTACGAGTTCTGATCCTTACACGCATCACGGTTCAGGGCCTAAGATCTGGAGGACGCTCGTCCTCTGCCTTGGCGGGAACCAAAATATTGACGGGAGGCGCATTTAATGCAATATATTTGGTGGTTAGGAAGCTACCCATCCACAACCCTCCACGTCAGCAACATTACCAACTCTTAGGTAGTTAAATAGTACTCCCTTTGTCCTGCTAAGATTGTCCAATTTTACCTTTCCGGTCCGTCCCACTAAGATTGTCTCATACCTTATTTGGTAAAGTTTGTGTAGCTCTAAATTATTTTTACTTTATTCTTACTTTATCAATTCAATATCAACCACATAAACCATTTTTGATTGATTTGCGTGCAACTCCCTCTTGTCCCAATGTTAGTGGGACGGAGGGAGTAGCATTTATTTCATTGTAAAGGGTTGAGAACTTATTCTCCTTATCAATAGCAATTATCTTAGTTCTTCTTTACTAAGATGTGTGGCGTGTGTCCTCGGGGCTTGTAGCCGAAGTGTGTTGTATATGGACCCTTATTATCACTTAATAAGATACAACGCACTTACTACTCTTCATTTGATCCATCTTACTTGCTTGCATCATATATACATCAAACTCTCCGCTTAACCCCCAAGGGGAACGTGTTGGGCCCTCGGGTTGAAGGAATAAACCTCAACACCCATCAATATTTTTCAGGATGTAATCTTTTATCATTTGTCTTCCGTGATTTGACAATCTTTGTGTACTTGTTGTTTCTAGCGTGGAAGCCATTAAATAAGATGAAGCGTTAGATAATGTCACGCCCCAGACCGCAATCCAAGCGTGTATACAACCGTCGTATAATTAAGTGACGTCACCCACGAGTCAACCTCACTTAATCATACAAGTCGTTCGATGAAATAATTCATCCATACTCAGTAGTAAACATGCATAACAACATCACATTAAAATAAATGAATAGCGGAAATATTCAACGGTAAGTCATAAGCCACATACGGCCAACAACATGGGCATGCAAGCCTAAAAGTAGTTTGTAATAAGTAAAATATCCATGAGCATTAATACATTTGTTTTTATAACAGAAATGGAGGAAGCACGAACCACGTCTTCTCTCCTGGGTTTCCTCGAAGCAACGGGCGATGGTAGCAACTTCAAGTTCTGCCTGAAACTATGAGGTGGCCTCCCCCGTGAAGGGGAAGTCAGTACTTTGAAGCATTTGAAAAGTATAATGACAACTATACTAAGTATAATCAATGTTTCAGTTTCTAAGACCCTCAAATAGAGTGATATCATAATTTAATGATAGTTCTTCTTTAACCCTTATTATCCTCATAATAAGTTAATTACTCCCTCCGTCCCGCTATGATTGTCCCATTTTACCATTTCGGTCCGTCCCACTAAGATTGTCCCATACCTTATTTGGTAAAGTTTGTGTGGTTCTAAATCATTCCTACTTTATTCTTACTTTATTGATTCAATTTCAACAACATAAACCCACTTTTATTAATATCTGTGCAACCTTCTCTTGTCCCAAACTTAGGGGGGCGGAGGTAGTAATTAATTTGTCGGCACTCAAGCCCCTTTTTATGCTCCATAACATTCGTCGTTAACACGACACCGCCCGTAGGTCTTATCATCCTTACGAGACTTATCACCGCCATCCAAGGCCTCATCGGGCTCTCGGGCCGGAGTCCAACATCCGCCCCTGGACTCATACCCATCATCGCGTAGGAAGGTAAGGTTCATTCGGGGTCCTATCTCAAGTGTTACTGTTGTCGGGAGCCTCGTAAGGTCTCCGGTTCGGATTCCACCCTAACCCGTGATCACGATGTAAGTCCATGCTATCCAACCCCGCTCTCTAGAGTCGGGAAGGGCCATGGTCCTTACTAT